CTCTGTATTATTCAAAGTTGATAGGATTTCGAAAGCAATTAAAAAAATTCCATTTCTCGCTGATCCCGATGCATTTAGACTAATTGATCGATTTCTTTTCTTATTGCAATACGAATGTACGTGTAATTACCTTCAACATCGTGCTTTTCTCTTGGCATAATTTCTACGATTAAATTTGAGGCTTGCCGGGTGCCTCTTACTGTATTATTGGTGCAAATTGCAATTACACGCGCGATTGTCGATCTTTCTTCGAAAAAAGAAGTCTCCACGCGTGACTCATGCGCGGGACAAAAAGGACGAACGATTGCAACGCGACTCGATCGTTAAAACTGTTCACCTATCCTCGTTTTCTTTTCTATTGCCCAATCGTTTAAATAATTCATATGGAAAATTATTCGTTGCTCTGTGAATACAAATTACCTGTTAATTCCATCCTTTGCGAGGACAGCTTCCTACCATTTTAATTTCGTTCCAGTCCCGCTTCTTCTGCGTTGCACTTTCGAAGCGACGAGTAAAAAGCAACTTTAAAAATTGCTTTTCAACAATGCTTGCAGAAATGATTTTATAAAAGTGGCGAAAATACGGAGTGAATAATAATTTCGTAAAAATTTCCACTGCTTTTACTTTTATCAAATAAATCCAATAATTTCGGTACTTTAACTTTTATTAGAAACAATATTTCGTGGTTAGCACCTAATATGCTGAAATAGTGTTTCTATCCTAATTTTACTATTTCACCGAGAAAGCTCTCGTTCATTCATGATTTACGCTCTGTATATCAGCGAGTGCATATGAAGAGGTATTTCAATGGAACAAAAAATGAAAAAATATAAAAAGTAAATCGCTAACAGACTCTCTTCATATCCTTACAAACTTAATTCAAACTTCTGCATTTAGTTGAATTGCACACTTCTCGAAAAAATTGCCATAAATTAAAATTACGTTTCTATTTTTTATTTCTTTCACTTCTACTAAAATAGACTTCCATTATTACCACAGATGCCACTGTTCATTAAGTAATAATTATAATTTTCTCAATATCTGTTATATTATTCACATCGACAATCATAACGTTCTTGTTAAATAAAATACAACATTTACGACTTAAAGTTGCTTTCAGCAAGCATTCAAGCACCAAAGTGTTCCATCAAACGTGGCAAGCAACCATCCTACCGTATATTCTAAGAGAAATTACTAACCAAACATACGACGGAAGAAACTAAAGAAAAAAAAAAAACGTCAATATTTTCCTACGAGTTTATCACGATTCGTCGCATGTCATTGCTCCCAGCGGCTGAGTTAGAAGATCGCTATCTTTGATGCGTTTCTACCATATTCATGCAACACCGTCGATTGCTTTTACAGGCTGAAACGAGTTAATCTTCGCCTTGGTACCGTGTAATTTTGGATCTCGCGCTACCTACGCCCGCTTTTTGCGCCCTCGATCGTTACTTCTGTATCATGCCGCGTTATTACCTACGATTACCCAACAAATTCAACTTGATAACGAGTTTCGATACAGGTCTGCCTTTCTTCGACACAAATGTCTTTTTTACTTTTTCCCCGGGCGAAATGACGAGCTCGAGTTTCTTCTTCCACGCGTTCACGATATAACGTTTCGAATTATCATCGTGAATTTCGTTTTACCGCGATGTTCGCAATACCTCACGGGGGAACACCGATGCTGCGAACTCTTTCTGTTAATTATCATTTCGACAAATTTACACGCGTTTAATTATATCAGACGCTGCTGCTGAACGGACGGTATAGAATTTTAATCAAAGGGAACTGTTCCGCGGAAAAATTATCAACCGCGGTCGGGAAAGGTTGAAATCCGAGCGAAAGAATTGAAATGTTTAATTAGGGGAAAACAGAGATTGCGTTGAATTTCAAATTTGATATTCTTCATTTTGCGAAATGTAATGTTTATCAGTAGAGAAATATAAAGTAACGTGGAATTGTATAACTCTGTTAAAACAGAAGGAAAGATTTCCAAAGGAAAATAAGAGGAAAAAGGGAAAGAAATCCTTTTATCGAGAATTTATACATAAGATAAATAAACTTCGGTCGTTGAGTTGATAAACAAGGATGTACCTACGATGTTCTGTTCTTAATATAAAGACTTTTATGCTGCGTGACACGCTTCGTCGCAATTCATTAGACGGTAATTTTCCTGGAAACCTGTATACAGCAAGATTTTGCTGTACAAACTTCTATTTTCCAGGAAATCGATCGCGAAAGCACGCAAGGCGTATTTCATTAAAATTTAATCAAGTGGACCTTACCGCAGAGCTTTGTACATAATATACGCGAGTAATTAAAGCGGACGTCACGAATTTCATTTACAGTTTAGACAATTACCCTTATCACCCTTTAATACATTATGTCACCGTTCCTGTTCCTTTCATTCAGGAGATCTCTCTTTAAATTTAACGACGTCGATAACGCATGAAAATGTAATTATTTTTAAGTACGACGCATCGTATCCGGTGTTAGGTTACAGAATTGCAACGCGCTATGTAACTTGGCGAATATAATATTGCAGAAAATGAACATTTAATAACGTAATACAATAGCGTCGATTAGATATTGATACAAATAGAAACAACACGAGGTGCAAGGTCGGTCAGTGATTCATTTCACTTCTATCTTTTCTCTTCAACCGATCGCAGAAAAACGTTCATCGATCAACAGGGAGTGAATCATGGCTTATGAAATGCAGCACATACTAGAAGTGTGCGATGGAAACATTTTGCGAGCGCAAATATTATATCGGATTTTCTGCAAATTTTTCCCTTCTTTTGTTGACCGTGAAAATAGAACATTTATTTGGACATTTGACCGAACTGATGGAAAAATGATAAAAAATATGACAGATTTTTATTGCGTTCGTATCATCATTGCGGTGCTCCCTGTCGTAGTTATTACGTATTTACTTGGATTATTTAATCTTCGTGGAGTTATACAATTTTTCTAGTTGAGGTGTGAAATCAATTTTCTAATATTTGATTCATAGTGTATTACTGAAATAGCGATTAAAATTCATTGTGTAATAAATATCGTATTCTAGGTTATCGTGTAGAAGTTATTATTTTATCATTGATACTGACAATTATCGAGACATTTTCCACTGTTTTTAATAATATACCTTAAATTTTATAAAATTTTTACTCGTAGAAATAATTATTCAAATCCTTGGAAAATAATCCTTCTTCGCTTCTATTTTATCACGAGAGAGAACCGATATTAATCATGTTTCTGTCATGTTTTGCAATTTGAAGTGCGCTGAAATCGATCTCAGAAAATAGATAAATTCCAAAGAAATGAATTGTTACGCCTCCTCTAATCGAGCGCATACGTGAAAATTAAATAAGGAACTCAGATTAATTCTATTTTCTTATCATTTTGACGTACTTTCATGATGCACGTATACAAATAAACTTATCTGCGAAGAAAGTAAACGAACGAATCTAACGACTTATTTGTTCACCACAAGAGGACACGCATTTCACCGACAAGTACACACACGTATCGGATACAGCGAAATGTAAGAAAAATTCAAAGTGACCATATGTGGCAAAAAAGCAAAAGATATTTTACTCGTTATTTGAAGATAAATTCAAACGCGGTGCAGAAAAAAATATAATTCGATTTACATCCACCCTCGTTCACTTTACAAATTATTCAAGTAATGCGTTCGATTACTCAAAAATTCATCAACCACCGTGGACGATCCACGTTCCACTGCGAAAGAAATACAATTCGACTTATATCCACCCTTATTCACCTCACAAATTATTCGTCATATTTCTCTGCCGAGAAAAGCACCGTTGAACTTTTATCGCTGTGTCAATTAGAAACAGAGATACTTTTCTAACGACCCAATACCAACGGTGGAATACGTCGAAACGCGCGTCGATTATACATTTCCACGCTGTACAAGAAGAAGCGAATTAACCCGACCAAGCAGATAAATCAAGCCACGGAATCACTTGTCGGTTGCGGTGAAAATATAATAATCGAGCACCGTTCGACGAAGTAAAAGCGTCGATTAATCGACGTTTTTGTTGCTCGTGCATACTTTCACGGAGATCCAGCCCCGACAGAGAGACGAAATTTTTGCAAAACCGATCGACACCGCATTTTCCATTCTCCGTGGACATTCTGTTACTGTCCTCTCTGTGTAGAAGCGAAATCGCGAGAGAGTAGGTATACACGGGGATCCGTCGAATTGAAAATCAGTAAAACCGCCGGAGAGCACACACAGTGACGTACCAAGAGAGTGGGGAGCACCAGCTGACTGGTCTCTCGGTGAAACTGTCTCGTCGTATGCTGCACGCCGTTGCTTTGACAGTGTTATATCAACCTCCGGCAGAGTGAAGTCGCGTTCTCTCCCTCTCTCTCTCTTCATTCGATAAATCTCTCTTTAAAAGTTGAGAGAAACTCGATACGTCGAGAGAGAGCTCTCTGTTCGAATAGAAAATTCGCGTTCCGAAGGAGATGTGCAACGGAAGAGCATCGTTTATGACAGTTTTTCAAGTTTCGAAGGGGAAAAGTCAAGGGAGAAAAGATCGCGAGTGAATACGAGAAAAGCAGACGATAGAGAGGAAGTGAAGAGGAACCTTCGGCTCGGTTTCTTCCTTTTCTCTTCGTCATCTGGAACCGAACGAAAAATTCTCCCAGGACACCCGGCGAGAGGAGATAAAAGGAGCAATCTAACAGCCACATCAGACACAACGGAATCTTTATTGAGACATTCTACGAATTTGTGCCGCGTGTTGTGAGTGATAAAACCTTATCGGCCCGGGCGGCTAAACTCCGAGACCTATTCGTGGACACAGCATCGTTTCGAAAAACCATCTACCTCTCCCGCCCTGGCGAAAGGGTTGCCTCTTCCTGGATAACCGGAAGTGGCTATTAACCGACGAAGGGAGAACAATGTCGACACTCGAGAACAGCTTCCCTTGAAACTCTCGCTCTCTTTCTCTCTTAGGTTCTTCAAGATAATCATTCGGCTCGTTGAGTCATGCTTTGCCTTCTTGCGCTCTGTCGAAAGGTAAATAAACTTTTCTTCTGGTTCGTTACGCGTCTGGACAGAAGGTTGTGCGCTGCTTTCGCGAAGATGAAGAACGCGCACCTCGCTAACAGTCATTACGCGCGAATTACAGGAATTGCTACAAATTGCAATAATCGCGGTGGATAATGGTGCGCGGCTTGGCGAAAGAGAAAAAAGCGATTTCAGGTCGCGCTGATTATTATTTCTGCGAGTCGTTTTCGTATCTTCTCGTTGGTATTTGAAAACTGGGATTAAAACCAGCGAGTAAATTATACGGTTGTGATCTAGTTATAGTTAAAAATTGTTTTCATTTTTTTCCTACAATTGCCACGAGAATTCGATGAAATAGACGACATTCTCGTTATTTAGGTCTCTGCTGCATCAACGAATAATAACATATTTTATCAGTCGGTAGAATGTTGTATAAACATTGGTGTATTATTATACGTGATAAAGTGCGGAATATTGGCAACGGAGAAGCAATACGATCATATCGTTCTGTATTTTCGAGTAAGTCGAGGAGATCAGAAAAGCTGGAAATTTGAATATTCGATGGAATAAGAATCGAATTGAAACTCTATCTTGAAACATATTGAACAATTTCTAAATAATGTTCTAAATAAATTCCTGCTTTTTTAAACGATATACACAATCTGATTTATAAAATTCGAAAGGAAGTTTATTACAATTTAAAAATTAAATTATACTTAAGCACGAATTACTAATATTTATCATTATTTTAAAAAGTATACTTCTTTGAAAATGAATAATATTCAAAATGATATTTGTAATTAACGAAGTGTTTACGATACAACTTAGCATTTGCTGGATGATAAAAGAAATAATACGAAAATCTATTCTAATTAAAATTCAACGATAATATTTCGAAAAGAGACAGATGCAAAATTATACTTTACTGTATATTTTGGATGATATTTCAACCTGTACCAAAAACACTGGACGATAATTTTATCTATGTACGCTGTTGCATCGTGCTCAAGAGAAGTTATCAGTAATTGCCTGTAACTGACAAATGCAGTAGAATACAACGTAACAGCCAAGCAATAAGACATTGACTCGTACACTTCGTCTTAATTATATCAAAACAATAATTCAGAAACGATATGGAAAGAATAAAAACCGCGATATTTCTCAACTTTCCTCAAACACTCTACACAAATACCCCGAAAAATTGCTAAATCCCTCCACGTGTAATCGTTTCGCAAACACCAAACGACCGTTCGATTCAAGTAATCGAAAAGGCGCGAACAAATTTTTACCCCTTCCGTTATTTGGACGAGATATCTCACATGTCGTTCGTTTGACGCTTCGGATGAGATATCTCCTGTCTCTGCTTTTCAATATTTGCAACTCGATGTCGCTTTGGGCGAGGTATCCTGTCTCTGCTTATCAATATTCTTCCCAAGATTGTTTCACGCAAAAGAAACACCAAGAAAATTTCTTTTCTCAAAGTCTAACATCGTTCTCATTCAGGGAAGAGATTTCTACCCCTACTCTTCGAACGAGAAACGTCTCGCGTCCCGATGAGAAGATACACGAGACATCTCGTCGAAAGCGTGAAACGAACGACACCGAGTCGCGGGATATCTCGTTGAAAGAGCGGAACCGGTAGAAATTTGTTCGCTTGATATTTCTTTCACGGATGCGAAAGGGTTAACGATCGATTTCTCGGCGCGAGGCAGGGGTGGAAATAGGACGGCACGAACGGATTGTTTGTTTTCGCTAAATTATGTATGAATTATTCTGTCGTTGCGAGTGCTCTTGTATCATGTGTACGAGATCATTTCCGCGTGGAAGTGAAGTGCGTATCAGTCTCTCGAAGAGACGAGGAGGGCTATTATGCCGAGCTGAGTACCGAGAGGGAACGAGAGAGAGAAATCTCTACGCCAGATGCACACACACGGGGCGCTGCTTTCACGTTGAAAAACTTTTTTATCGGACGGACAAAGGAAACCGCGAAACTCGAGGAGAGCGTAATAAATTCGCGCGAGGCTGCGTGACGGCTCAATTTCATACTAACGTCCCCGACGATGTCGATTTGCCAGACGATTTTCCACCTTACATTGCCTACCGGAACTTAACGAAGATAAAACCTGGAGAATTTCTCGCGTGCACACACGCACGCGCCACTGCATCAAGGAAATCGCGTATTCTTCTCTCCTTTCTTCCGCACGGGTTATCGCTAATTATTTCTAATTGCGCGCAGACTCGTTTCATTTCTGCCGTTTTTTCCGTATCACTTAAAACGTTCAACGCGATTATCTCGTTTCCTTTCTCTCTCTCTCTCTCTCTCTCTCTCGCGCGCTCTCTTTCCTCCGATTCTGCTTTCGCACCGGAAGTCGAAAGCGTGCGTCCAAGATCGTTGCGTGCAGACATTTTTTCCCGACGAATAACAGACACCTTTTGCTGCAGGCTTGCGAAACTGATCTACGCTTTCGTCGTTGCTCTATTTTATCTTGCTACACCTGAAATAATATTCAGTTGTTTGATAATGTATGAGAGAAGTGAGGAAAATATTGGGCAAGTGTGGAACGTTTGAGAAAGGAACGAAAATTTAGCAGAAATTCGATTAATTTTCTTAACAATTTATTATCAATTTGTTATAATATACAAATAAGAGCAATCGAATGATTTTCTGTGATATTTTATTTATTTTTGCATAAATATTTGTAGATATTCCCAGTTACTATTTATATTACGCATCGTTTAAATCTAATTGTCCACGTAATACGGAAAAAAGGAAGATTAGTGTCAGATAAACTGCTCGTGAAATTGCATAAACCAGAGATATCGCTGCTATAACATTATACACTGCTGCATAACTGTTTTTCTGATTTTATTCAATCTATCTGCACCTTTCGCGAAGTTTACCGACCACAGGCCTCTAGTTGCCCAAAGAAGCAGGTATCACGAACACCTCGACTATTGAATATCTCGAATAAAAACGATCGGATTGAACTTCTCCTACCTCAAGAGCAATTTGCATCAAGAGATTGCTTAACACAGCTATAATTACGACACTTGATACTGTTATAAAAAAGCGTTACGAAAGAAAGAAGTAAGAAGAAAAACGGTGAAAGTAGAGTCACGCTGGACGTAGAATCTAGTGCATGAAATAAGAACTTCTACGTAGCTCTTTTTGCACCGACGAGTATTAAATTAATATGGAGAAAGAGCCTCGATATCACCTAACCGATGAATTTTGACAAAATTTTGCGCACAGCTGGAGAATATTGAGAAAATATTGGACATCTAATTTTTCGTAAGCTATTTAGCTGGATATTCGTGTGTAGTGAAATCATTCTCCAAAGTGGGACACTGAATGATTATTAATTAGAATAACTGGAAAGTCGGAGCTAAAATCGAGCAAAATGTTAAATACGAATTTTGCGTGGTTTTTCACGAGCAATAACCTGAATGAAAATTGTGCAATATCACGGATGACATCGCCATAATTGAAAATGTCACATTTTTGGAAATATTTTCTATATGACAGTATTTTCTACATTTTTCCCCCAATTTCTAAAAATTGCCATCAAGTCAGGAATACAGTATTTTTATTTAATTTCATTTGGAATTTTTCTAATGAAATTCTGCAACGCGATTTCGTTCGACTTATCATGGAGTTTGACTAATCAATTTGCTATTCTCCGATTTCTCGTGAGAAATCCGTCACGATTCGCATTTAACATTTTTCTCCATCTCAATTCAATTTCCACTTAGTATATCCTCAAACTGTACTCACACGTTAACTATTCTCAAATTTTGATCAAAACGAGCGTTTAGCCGCCTTTTTCTGCTTTGTTCTCTGTGAATTTACGGGCGGCGACACGTTATCAGATTATCGAGACGCTTTACTCGTAATCAGGTCGACCCTACCTGTCGGCCAATTTTAACAAGTAGGTCATCGGCTCGTTCGTGGGATTTGAAAACGTGGAACCGTGGATATCCCGTCGACGAAGAATCTCGACGATCTATCGACCTTTCGCGCGTGTTCACGCTTCCTGTTTCATTACACACGCGTGTAACTGAATTTGAAAACACGCAGGTGTTTCTCGCAAAAGAAGAGCTCCTCCTTCGCGTCTCGCCGGCGGAACTCGTTCGTTACGTGTCGATTCTGATTAAATTCCGCGAATCTGTTCGCCTGATTGAAAAAAAAAAACATTAATCCTTTGTGGAAACGCGTCGCGTCACTTGCTCGGTACATTTCATCGATTCCGAATGCTGCAGTTCACGACTCCAAATGGAACGCGCTATTGTTCGAATATTTGTCGGTCGACTAACGGAACCGGAAGTACAGTAAGCCGTAACGCGTGTAAAAAAGAATTTCTTTTAATTGCGTATTATTAAGGACGCGATTCGGAGGAAACGCTCGGTTAATTATGTACGTCTGCACACAATGGTGTTACCTGAGATAATCAAGTTCGAATAAATTTCTCCAAGCGTATCAAGCGAGGATATTTCCTAATGCAGATGCGAAATATTGCACACGCGATGGGAAATTTTAATTGGTACGGTATTTGTAAAAAAAAAATTACCGTCTCTATTTGACAGTTTCCTGTGAATTTCTCCGCACAAATTAGCGATCGGCCTAACCGAATGTTCAAATATCGTTGCACAAATTTCGAGGCTGTTGTTCCGCTCGAAGAATCGGCGAAATTAGAATACTAGAACGCGAATCGTGAAATCGTTGCTTCGCTTTTCGATTCGGGGGAACCGAAGTGTTTGTCAGCGAAACTGGATCAAAGTAACAAGTACACGGGAGAGGAGAGAGAGAGAGGGCGAAGATTTTGTTCGCCTGGGATTATAGCAACACGTATTTCATTCGAATAGAAGGAGCCTGCAAACGAATGGCTGTGAATAGAAATTTCAAGAAGCGACGAAACTCTGTACCTTGTTTTCGCGTAACTCAGCCTGAATATTTCTCAATTTCACGTTGTACACAGTTGCAAGTAGTGCATACTCGAAACCGGTATCGA